ATGTAGCGAGGAATGTAAACCAACATTCACACAGATAGTCATATATCTTTAAAACCAATCATGATATGGTAAGACAAAGAACTTGTATCCATCTCTTATAGCAATTCAACTGCTCACTGTTCTTAATCAATTAAAACCAAAACAAAAAATCTAAAAGCTACAAACTTTCCTTAAGTAATGATGTTAAAAAATTATCCAATAGTTTCCAGGATATATATCTAAACAAATGCATGGAGGCCAACCCCAACTTTTACTTTCTCATCTTAAGTTTTGCATTCTCGAAAAAGGGAAAAAAAAGAAAAACCCAAGAATTGCCCATTACTAGTTAATGAACAAATAAACTATTGAAGTGAAAATCAAAGCAAAACATTTTCCTAGGAAATGGTTATTCATCAACATATATGATACCTAAACCATCTCCACCAACCCAACCCACCCAAAACCCCTCATCCGCACAGCAGAAATAGAAAAACCCACATCTTTAAAACACCAAATTTTCATCATTATAAGCAAATAATAGCACAAAATTTTGAGAATCAACAATATATATGAAAATGTACATAGAAATTGAACGATCGAAGAGCAGAGTATTGAACTGCAACTTACCCAAACAAGTAGTCCTACTAGAAGCTGAAAGCCTGTTGTTTTTGAGCTTCAATTGGAGGTTTATCTGGAAAGACTGCAGGAATTGAAGAAAAAATCAATACTCTGTTTTTAGCGTCCCCCCTATCCATGTCCACGTGTTCCCCTATCCACCACCCATGTGTCTGCCCCGTCTTTGTCATTACCTTTGGCAATAACCAGAATCTAAAGTATGGACTGGTAAATGTTCCAGCAGCACATAAAGTTCCGTCACAAATAGTCACATAACTACGAAGTCATTCAACAATTTCAGAATAACCATTTCCAGCATTTTGGCCATAAAATTCAGAAAACTCACCATTATTTGGACACTAAATGCAGCAATTAATGTCAGAAAACTTATAACCAACTGCAGAGATTTAGAACTGATTCCCAGCTCATGCAGCAGCATATCTCAGAAAGGTAGAACGGAAAAGTAAAAGGAGACAAAGGAGAAGATTCACAATTTGCATAACAAGATAAAAATTAGAGGAGATGGACGAAGAAGAGGGACAGGAGGACAAGCAGCCAAAGAGAGCATCTTCAGTAGTTTTTGATTCAAGACAGGAGATCGAACATTTCTCCCTTTCCGCTTAAGTCAAGATGATGCAGTTCAATTATTCACAATAGCTCCTCTCCCTTTTTTTTTTTGGTGCTCCAGTGGAGGACTATAGGTCCCCTGCGTGATGTGGGTATGCCACCTAAATTACATCAGCTAACAGGATTTGCTTAAGATGAGTAGAAGGTTCCGGACATACTTGTAAACCTAGCTGACTATTAAGATTTTGCTTTGCTAACCAATCAGCAGCCATGTTCGTTTCTCTCCTGCAATGCTCCATCTTACACTCCCACACTTGGTTTATCCAGTGTCTGATTGATTCACCTACCAATTGTATAAAGTGAGTCCAATGGTAGGTGATTGATTCACCTACCAATTGTATCCCAACTTGTGAGTCCAACGCCAGAGTAATCTTTTTGTATCCCATATTCCATGCCATGGAGTCTCCGTAGTTCATCCCCCAAAATTCTGCCACCACATTGCTTTTTTATCCAGATTAGCCATAAAGCCTGATAGATAACAGTCTTGTTCATCCCTAATCACTCCACCCATTCCGGCATTTCCAGGGTTGTATGAAGAGGCCCCATCAACATTTCTCTTCACCTATCCGATTTGAGGTTTTCTCCATCCCACAAGACAGGTTTGTTAGGGTGGCTTCACGCTGATTTAACCAAGGCACAGTAGCTCTTTATATGGTTGCCAATCAATGCATACAACTAGTACAAATAGCTAGCTACATCAAAGGCTCAATAAAAATAACTAAATGAATTAACGGCAGCATTTTTGAAAACACAAAACTTCAAAATACTTCCAGGCATGCTCCAGAAAAAAAAAACTTCCAGGCATTTAAGAGGAACGGAAACTGATCTATACTGCACAGATTTTGCGCAACAAAACAAAATGCTATACTAAACCATTTTTTACTACTGGCGTCCAAGACATCAAATTTTACTGTTGCAACTATAAGATCAGTACCTATTGAACAAAAAGCTGGAAAAAAAAATGCATAGGCACTGCTCTTATCATCCTACAGTTACCAATCACAAAGTTAGGAAACTACAGTGACAAAAGTTAGCCACTTACGACTCCCAAATGGGACTTCCACAAAAGTCCAAGCAAATACATCCAGTATCACAAAAACCTTCTCCACTTATAGATCTCTAGCTTACAACGGTACCTTTTGATAAAAACTGCAACAAAATTTACACCATGAGTATTACGGGTATCATCCTACAACAAAAATGACAACGTTTGTAAACTGCAACCAAAAAAGTAGCCACTTATGACCCCACAATACACTTCTGCAGAAATACAAGCAAATTCCTCCAGTAAGCTTTTCTTTAACTTACCATCAAGCATTCAACTTCCAAATTAACTTTTAAGCTTCTCTACTTAATGCAGCAAAATACTCGTCACAGATGGCCTCCCTTCTCGCGCCACAAACACCTTGATTCAAGAATGGAGCAGCTCCCCTGCTCTCTCACATTAGATACAACCACCTTGATCATGCTTAGTAATTCTGAATGAAAGAAAATGATGGAGCTCCAAGCTCATCAATCTATTAATTCATATTTTTACCTCCCAACACAATCTTATGCTCCTAATTTGTTTGATAAATGGCGAAAACATTAATCATTTTACTTCAATATCACAATGTAATATTTTTATGTCATGTAAGAATATCACAATCGAAATTATCAAAATATCCAAAATCAAGATGATCATAGAAAAAAAATTAATGAACCCAAAAAAAAAAGCCAAGCAACTAAAAGAACTATACAAAATAGATCATAATCAAGGGAAATGAAATTCAGCTTTCAGGGCCCAAATCAATTACATTCAAAATTCCGAGGAAAAAGAAAAATAAAAGAAAAAAAAAGCCCGAAAGGCTATGAAACAACAAGAAGGGTTGAGAATGAATTTTACCGGAAGGAAGATCCTCAAATCAGCCTGACAGGTCTGCTCTTCTTGCTGGTCTATAAGAATAGAGGGTTCTGCGAAGGGTTTTACGATTTTAATTATGGCGTTAGGATTTAAGATTGTCGTCGAAGTCCTTGAAGGTTTACCTTAATTTGTTTTCTACCCCCAATTTTAATTTTTCTTATCAAGTTACCTCTTTCAATTAATCTCTGGATTAATATTGTAGCTAATTATTTTTTACTCTTTCCTATTTTATTGTGTACCGAAGAATGGACGCAGATGGGCGTGTCCCTAAGATTGCAAAAAACTCAATTGCCAATTTGTCAAAAAAAATTTGTTAAAATTTTTTTACCAGAGAAAAAACTTTTGATATTAAATTAGTGTTATCGCACATTCTATTTTTGTTACCCAAACAATCATAAGTTTTAGGCAGATGGGCATGTCCCTAAGATTGCAAAAAACTCAATTGGCATCTCGAAAAAATTTGTTAAAAATTTTTTACCAGAAAAAAAACTTTTGATATTGAATTAGTGTTATCGTACATTCTACTTTTGTTACCCAAACAATCATAAGTTTTTACATTGAAAAAAAAATAATTTGATATAAAGCCCTTGTCAAATTTGAGACAACGGTTCTCAAGATCCAACTTAATTGATAAGAACATTGGTCAAATGATTGTGGGATCCCTAGTTAGCTTAGATAAGGACCTTTTTTCGAGGAAAAGGTAAACTAATTATAGATATATAAAATAATTTGAATTCTCAAAAAAAAAAAAAGGTTAAGTCGCACGAAAATGTGGATGCTATGAAAATATAACCATTTTCCATGATTGGAATAGTATATCATGAGGCGTAAGTTTATATACTACATCCAAAAGAATGGAAAATGACTAAACGCACTTGGGTCAAAAATCTGCTTGCTTGGCTAGAAGGGTTCTTGCTTAAATGAATAATTTGAAGCCAATTAAAACTTTTTTATTCATAAAATTTATTGATTGTCTAATTAGTATCCTGTAATTGTTTCGTCTCTTACTCTCTTTTTTGGTACTGGATAAAATTTATGTTTTTGTCATTTATGTAATCACCATATCCATGGTACTTTGATATAGTATTGTATGTTTTTCTTTTGGTTCTTTTCCATATCCATGTTTTTGCAAGCATTTTTCCAAGTCCACCTTATATCACAGAAAAATTCTATGGCCCCGGATATTCTTGTATGTTTTTCTTTTTCATGTCCAAGTTTTTAAAAGTTCTCATGTCTACTATGATTACCTCAGTCACATTAACTAAGAAAACATCTCGGTTAGCCTGGACCAGAGGATACCTTGGCCTAATCGCCCTCACCGAGAATTAATCTAGGGATGGCTTATTTACCTGAGGTATCAAAAGTTTCAGCTCGTCACTATGATGTGACTGTGATTGATGTGATTGATGTGACAATCTATGATTCAATCCTACAATTGATATTACTGTCATATCTTATTTTACGAGATTAGACTAACAGTAGATCTCATCATTCTATTACCTATCTTTTCTAGTATAAATATCAACACCTTACTCACTTGGAAAGATAGGTAATCCAAACCACTCAATATAACTCCCGACAACTTCTGACTTATGCATTGGAGTGAAACTGGCAACATAGTCTCAGCCACTTTTTGTTTTGCAGGTGAGCTCATCTAGCGATGACCTCAACTCAGGTCACTAGTTTTCACCTGTACATGCATCTTGTATTATAGGAGAATTTTATGGTTCCTTTAGAGTATTATTCCTTGAACTTGTATCTTTTAATGGAAATAGCAGCTTCTATATTAAATCATTGAAATTATTAAGATCTAAGAATTAAAAACAATTATTTCACCATCTCACGGTGAATTTAACTTGATGACATGATGGCAAATATGGACTGTATTATAATCTAACAAAATTAGTCAGTAAAAATCTTCAAATTCTACATAACTGAAAAACCTGTCCAACTTATTCACCATGCTCAAAATCAGAATTCACTGATTACTTTCCAATGGTGTGATTCAATATAGGCAGTCAAATTTATATATATTTAATTTACTTAAAATTTTCACCAAATTCCTATTCCATTATCATGCATATTTTTACAACTGCAAATTATCCAAAAATGTTACGAATCCTATAATACGAACGACGAAGGTATCAGTTCCTTACGACCACGCCGAAGATGAAACATTAAGGGATAATTTCACAAACCTCCCTTGAGCTTTCTCATAATTACAAAGGGCTCCTCTCAGATTTTAAAATTACATATTCTCTCCTACTTTTATTATTTAGTAACAATGTAGGTCCAATAACTTAGCGTTTCTTTCAAGAATCCTAAATTGCCCTTTTGTACCAAACTAAGAAACAAAAATATTATATACTCAATCATTTTCTTCCACACTTTGCATAAATCAACATTTTCTTCCACACTTTGCATAAATCAACAAGCCAAATCCTTAACAATCATCCAAGTATAAGTTCTAAAATCAAGTAGCCATCCAAAAAATCCTAAATTACATATACAATATGAATACTTATCACGATTAAAAAAACACACAAAAACCCCATTGACAACTAATTTTATACCCCTAAATTAAATACCAATGCTCAAATACCTCTTCAATATAAACTAATTTGACCTAGAACCACTATTACAACTCTCCGATGCCCTTAAAAATATTACTAATATCTTAAAAGTAGAGAATAAATTATACTTCCACAATAAAATCATAATAAAAAATTTCTAATCCGATGAAAGAAATCATTATGTAATTATTGACATTTTATAAAAGTTTTTCTTAACAACAAACAAAATATGAATAATTCCACATCTTTAGTTCTTTTTTCTATTTCAATCATCTATTTCATTATTTATTTCTCTATCACTGTGAGTCTCTTCATTTCTTCTAGTATGACACATAATCTACTCTCTTTGTAGATTTTGTAATTTCAATTTGTTAATATCCACAAAACTAAAGATAATAAAAAGAGGGGATAATTTCAGAAACCTCCCTTGAGGTTTCTAGTAATTTCAGAAAGCTCCCCTCACGATTTGAAAATTATACATACCTCCCCTAGAACATGGGTTTGGATTTCAACTTGATGATGTAAGACCAAAAAAGTATATGAATGCCCAAAATTGCTCTCATCTAAATTTCCTTAATATGAATAATCATTAAAATTTTTTAAAAGTCAAGAATACACTTGTGTACTACCAAAATTATGAGCTTTATTACTTAACCAATGTCTTGATATTTTTTATCCTCATGATTTTCTACATCCACCAAAACTTTCAAACTCTTATCATTTTTCTTCTTTCGAACAAACTCTTTGTCTTAGATGCCAAAATCCATTGTTGTAATTCTTACTTTCACAATTTTACCTCTCTATAGGTTTCTTGCATATGTTGTCTACTAAACCATTAGTCATAAAACTCACAATCCTTACCTTTTTCCCGCTCAAATGGCCAAACCCTTACTTACCAAAATTTTTCTAACCTCTGCTATCAACATTTGGGTTGGCCATCCTATATTAGCCCACATTTTTTTTTATCTGAACCGAGACGATTTTATTGAGAACAAGTTTGATGTCTATTAAAAGAGGAACCAGGCAAAACATCAACAAAATGCAAGTTTGGGGTAGTACTTTTAGTACAGTCTATCAAATTATATTTTTCCGTAATCCAATAGTTTTTTTGTACTCAATGATATGAAGAATTGGGTTGTTGGCCGTGATGATTGCTTCTATCATCATCAATAGCAGTAGCATATTTGAGTGATAGAGGGAAGAAAACATCTACCTTGATTAGCATATTAAGTGATAGAAGGTTACAATTTAATGGCCACGACTGAAATAGTTTGGCCATAATATATGGCCTGGTCAAGAAGAATTGTTTTCCTTTTTTCATTTTCCTTTTTTCTGTTATTTTTTCCCTTTTTATCAATGGCTTGTCTTTTAAAAAATTATGAAGGTTATTATAGTCATTGTCTTTCATCAAGGGAGGTAATTGTAATATTGAAAACCTCAAGGGAACTCAGTGAAATTGTCAAAAACCTCAGAGGAGGTTTCTGAAATTATCTCTAAAAAAAGGTTATATTAATTAGAAAATAGACAAGAGACAGAAAAATAGATTTTTTTAGGTTTTGAAAATTTATTGTCTTAAATTTAAAATTGTCTACTAAGTGGAGGGCATTATAGATATTTTACTATATCAAGGGGTAAGTGTAGTTTCTTAAATCTAAGGGGAACCGAGTGAAATTGTCAAAAACCTCAAGGGAGGTTTTTGAAATTATCCCTATAAGAAAAAAAAAAAAGTGCTAATGTACCAAATTAAAATACTTGTAAAAATGTGAAAGGCAAATGCGGTCCCCAAGTCCAATGGCTCACCATGGGTAGCGCACAATACTCACCCAATTGATGATAGGAAAGAAACCATCCAAAATCTAAACCCTCATTAGCCCAAGCTCAAGTAACCACAACTTATTGGCCTACCGAATTTATTTTGCTAATATTTAGATCGGATGTGCAAACTTTTGGTTGTCTTCCTTGACTCCTTGGAAGCCTTTTAGATGTTACCAGAAAAAAAAAGTTCCATGATCATCGGTACACATATTTTAAGCAATTTAAGTTGATCAAGACAGCTTAGTTACCAAAATGTATGCTTGCAATCGTGCTTTAATTTTAGATTGATCTCTTAGGAGGGATCATGACTTTGGAGATAAAAAAAATGGATCTAGGACAGAGATCTGAAAGTTCTATTTTCACTGTTTGAGAATTTTAAAATTTTTTTTAAAAAAATCCTTTTCAGAATTAGATATTTGCCTCACTAGTGTTTTACAAATTAATATAATAGAGAATGTTATTCATATGATTGTCAAAGACAAATTGGCCATTATAAGAGATTTAGTATTCATTTTTAAATTGTAGATTAGGAATTCAAACCCAAAATAAGGATATCGTGAAAGTAAATTTTGCTAGACATCATTTTTATTAAATAACATTGTTATCAAGAAAGTGATACGTTAAAAATCTCCAAAATCTCTTCCAAAATCACTATTGAAACTAACCGGCGAATCATATATATATATATATAATAAAGTCGTATTCTCATTCTTATCCTTTCATATTTTCTCTTTCCTATGTGGCTTAACGAGACGTCAAGTAGTTTCCTACGTGGTTTGCTCCTTTTTTTTGGATTTATATCAATTATTATTTCCTATAAGAATTCTTAATATTATAAGATTCTTATTTCCTATCCAAAGTTATGTACTTTAAGCAACTTAAATCAAGATAAACCTACTTTTAATGTTCTTATCAATATCTCTTTATATCCTTATCAATTCTTATTTCTTATACCTACACTACATATAGCCATAATATATTGATTTCAAGCATCAAATTCATGGTTAGGTATTTTCAGTGCAAGCGGTTGGTACATTAAAGCATCGATTTTGGGTTTCCACTCCTCTTGATTATCAGGTACATCTTCTTTTAATACATTTTTTTTTTAAAAAAGGCATGTTGATCTTCAATTGTAAGAGTTTAGTAACATATCTTGAATTTTATTTTTTTGGCTTTATTTTCTATTTGTTTTGTATGAAGACATAGGATTTAAACAATTACTTCATCGTTATTTTTGTAGGATTCTTGCTAACATGTTTGTTAATTGATTTTTGTGATCATATGCTAAGATGTTTGTTAATTTGCCTTTAGGAAAAACAACCAAAAACAAAAGGCACTGGAAAGTAATGCAATATAAATACAAGAGACTTAAATATCTCTATTAGATATATCTGCAAATTCATTAGTTAATTAAAAGACTCTGGCCGTTTACTTAATTAAATACTTGAGAATGGTTTCACAAGGTTTTTTAAAAAAGTATCCAGCCTTATGTCTTACCAACATAGTTTAAATAGAAGAGAGGTCAGGAACCTGATCACTTAAACAACATGAACTTCCGGCAACTATTGGCTATATACACTTATAGTCTATGCTTCATAAATAGCGCTATGAAAGTGCTTTGCAGAATACATCAATTCCTTGCTCTCATAATCAAGAAGTTTAGAAGCAAATTCTATCTACATTTAGAATATTAGCTACCACTATCAATGCTGTCAGTAGTCGACATCCAAGGAGTATTCTCCAATGTTGTCAGTAGTCGACATCCAGGGCCCTGTATTGTAAGAAAAATATGGAGTATCCTAAACTGTGTAATGCTTGCAATCAAAATGTGGAGTATCCTAAATTGAGGTATGTCGTAGGTGTTAACCTTTTTATTATTTTAATTGCTACAATATCTACATAAACATAACTTTTAGAATATGTGTATTTATACAGGTATATGTTAAAAGTCTTGGTAAGTGATGCAATCGGTAGTACTTGGTTTGTTATATTTGATTAAGAGGCTGAAAGAATAATAGAACACAAACTTTCTCAAGGTAACTTATATCTAATTTTTTAAAATATTTTTAATAATAGTAGACAATCCGACACTTATCTTAGCCGTTGAATATTCTAACAAAAAAAAAAAATCTATTACGCATTTCATTTCCAGGAAGGATTTAGCAATGAAATCGTGTCAACAATTATAAACAAGATCACTTGGAAATCTTTTGTGTTCTAAATCAAGTTGAACAATTACAATCTGGAACAAGGTAATAATAGATTTACAGTGACTAGATGGTTCCACTGTGATTTCGGAGGAAATGCATTTCATGCTTTCACAGGTAATGTGCAATACATTTCTCTTATGTTTCACATATTATATCTCACATAATATTTTTACCTTTAATTTTGATAAATCATTATCAGATTGGTGGAACGACAACCAATACCAACCTGAAACATCTTCTTCCCAGATCCTAATTAGTACAACAGATGATTCTAATCAACAGCATTTCAATACACTTCATATGAATCAATCATCAGAGGTTCAACAAAAACCACAGAGGAAGGGAATCCTCATAAAAAGATTTGCATGAGAAGATAGATTTAATATACTATTTTACTTTCTTAAATTATAATCTTTACGTATTGTTATACACAACCTTGAATGCGATAAATCATTTTTTTTTTTTTATACTTAGTTATCTTGCTTTGCTATCATGCAGCGATAATGGAAAATCAATAAATGCTGAGTTGCACGGACAAATCGAGGAGAATGTTCAAACAGAAGAAAAACAAAAACAAGTTTCTGAAGAGTAGAATATTATTTGATACTATTTACTGCACTTTTTATTTATTTTCAAGTTTTTGAATGTTATGGTATTGTTGAATGTTATTTTTTCAATTTTGAATTATTATTCACTGAATTAGATGTTCAAATTTATATTATAAGAATACTTTATATTACAATGTGCACATAGTAATATACTTAAGACAAGTTATAATAGATTATATATTAAATTTGTATTTCATATCGATATTTTTATAAAATTGACTAAATAGTTTATTTTTTTCGACAATTCCCGTTCAACGAACGGGTACAAAACTAGTTAGTCTAGAAACTCATAACACGACAACAAAAACTCAATTTCGCAGATAATTCTCCATTTCAAACGCATTATACTTTTAACTATCTTTATTTGTCACATACTAGTGAATTATTTCCTCAAGGTTTGAACCTTCATGAGCTGTAGTTAAACACAAAAGTTAGAATGTGTGATTCCAATTTTAGTCTCTCTCTCTCTCTCTATTATCTCTAGGCTTCACTATGCTCACAACCAAAACCATGATCATGAAACTGAATATTCTTGTAAACAGCAAAAATTGACTACCAGATTGTAATCATACAAATGTCTTCATTGACATTTCTAAATGGTAATGGTTATTGAGCAAGGAAATTTATCAAATTAGTCACTTTCAAGAAGCTCATTCCGAAAACCTCATAAAACTAGATAAAGAAATTCTACAAGATGACATTCATAAGCTACAAACTGAAAGAAAATAGAGAAGGACATTACTTTGCCATTCACGGAAAGTAGGAAAACAACATTCATATTAGGCACTATCATAATTTTAAGAAGTTTAAAAATCTAACCCTTCAAACCTATATAAGTGACATGATTTCATGTGATTGTACTACTAAATCAAGTAAGTTTTTCTAGTAACTTTTTTTAGCATAATGGCATCAAAATCTGTGAAGCAATTCTTCTCTATTCTTCTGATTCAGTGGATGGTTTTCCAAGCCAGGTCTCGGGTAATCAGTGACGTTTCAATGATTGAAAGACATGAGCATTGGATGGCTGGTTATGGGCGTCAATACAAGGACACTGCAGAGAAGGAAAAGCGTTACCAAATATTCAAGGCCAATGTGGAGTACATTGACTTGGTTAATAGAGCAGGTAACAAACCATATAAGCTAAGTGCCAATCAATTTGCGGATTTGACCAATGAAGAGTTCAAAGCAGCTCATATTGGGCACAGAAGCCCCTCCAAGGACAAGTCAACAGCAATCCTGTCTTCTTCTGAGTATGATAAAATTGTTACTGCAATTCCCCCTAGCTTGGATTGGAGGAGAAAGGGAGCTGTTGCACCAATCCGCGAAGTGTCATGTGGTAAGTTAGGATATCCCACCATCCCACTACCATTGGTACATTTGTCAATTTTAGTCAAATGAACATATTAATCTATGTTATCTTTCGAAATAGAAAATGCATAACACTAAGGCTTTTGTTGAAAATTATCCCATAGAATCACAAAAGTTTGACGAAGACAAAAACTTTGAAAAAGATGTAAAGAGAAAACTCCAAAAATTGGCCTGTTCAAGAAACCAGAAGGGCTTCTTTGTTCATCTGAATTTTGTTTAGATCTGTAGCGTATCCTGATTTCAGGAAGATATTATTGTGTTTGCAAGAGTACTATCGACTTTGCTTTTGTATTCAAGAATATAATTTGTTGTCCTTGGTCTTTTATGGCACACTGCTACTCCCTTTAAAAGGCCTTGCTTTATAATGGATTTCTGGATGAGATTCCATTCCTTAAACTGTCTCACTGGATTTAGATGTGATTAAGGCCTTGCTCTCACACAATCATTTGAGAAAATTTTATAATAAACTTCACATTAAAGAGACTCTGGCACTCTAGTTGCATGTATTGAAGAGTCTTAAAACTTATCTACAATAAGAGCTTTTAAATTAGACTGCCATCTTTCCTCAGCCAATTATGACCAAAGGTCGGACCTAATTATCATTTTCGTTTATATTTTTAGTTATATTATGGTAGGTAGTTAAGGTGTACAACTAAGGTCAATCCTGCATAGAATCAGAGAGTCGTATTTTTTTTCTTTTTTGTTCAAAGGGAAGATTTCAAACCTTACAGGGGAAAGAGAAGGAAAGATATAGCAATTTCTTAAAATGAAAACAAAAAGAAATCATTTGGACAGAGGTTTTTCTTTCTTTTTTTTTTCCAGTTGTTTAATTAACACAAATCATGACTGTTAGAATTCTCTAATTTATGATGCACACAACCAAATTACCCAGGTGCTTGGACAATTCCTGCTGTTGATGCTGTGGAAGCCCTAATCAAGATCAAAACAGGACAGCTATACACGCTGTCAAATCAAGAAATTGTGGACTGCAGCACTGGTCTTGATTGTTATCAAGGCTCCACAGAAGATGCCTTTGAGTTCATCAAACAACATGGACTTACGACTGAGAGCAACTACCCTCCCAAAGATAATAAAGGCACTTGTGACACCAAGAAGGAAAAAGAACCAGTGGCCAAGATCAGTGGCTACAACTACGTCCCAGCAGACAATGAGAAGGCACTTTTACAAGCATTAACTGACCAACCAGTGGCCGTAATGGTTGATGCTTCAGGTGCAGATTTCCAGTTCTATGCAGGTGGTGTTTTCACGGGTGAATGTGGAACTGACATAGATCATGGTGTAACATTGGTTGGTTATGGTACCAGTAATTCCCCATTGAAGTATTGGAGGATCAAGAATTCATGGGGTAAAGGATGGGGAGAGGATGGATACATGAGGATGGAAAGGGATATTGCTGCCAAAGAAGGAATGTGTGGGATTGCCATAGAACCCATCTATCCCACTCTGTGATTCCTTTGCTGTGCATAAGCATTTCAAAGTTAAAGGGAATTTTGAAGAACTAATTGTACTGTTCGTACTTTTAACCTTTTTATAGCACAAAAAATAAAAGAACGAATGAATTATCCGGTTTGGTCTTTTATTTTTTTTTCTTTTAGAAAAATTTAAACTTAATATTATAAATTTACTCTACTCCTTCCCTACCAGTATCACTCTTTAGTTACACTTCTTAATAGAAAAGTAATCTAGTGTAAAAGATGATGCAATCCAACTATACAAGTAGTATATAAAAGCACATATACCGAGGAATATGAGGAATTGCACACTAAAAGCATATTATATAGAATCATTTGGGGAGGATTGGGTAGGGTGGAAAAGACAGAGAAATTAAAGGTAAGAAGTCCAGCATACGTACAAAAAAAAAAAAGAATCATTTGTTTTGAAAATAATATATGCATTAAACCATTAAGGGGTTTTAATTCTAATCAAACATCTTTTTTTTTTAAACAAATATTTTATTTATTTTAAAAAAAATTTGACAGAGTTTCCCCTTATAAATGGATGAAACTCCCTGCCAACAAACCCAAATTGGAGAAAAATATCACATGGCAGTAAATGTATATGTTACTTATTTCTAAAGAATCCCGAATTAGCCAAGCTCCCAGGTTAGCCTACTTTCCTCCGCCTGAGGGAAGGCACAACCCTCAACTCAAGAGTCTCCTACGAAAATTTGGGAAACCTAATTTGATACAAACTCGACCCAACAAGAACCTGTCTTGAAGAACCAAGTCGATCAGGCAGCGGAAGGATCTATCTTGATCAGGCTATGGAACAATAACTACCTTGCTAGACCTAAAGAGAACCCGTCTCTCAAAACCTAGTGGATTGGTTATTGGTTATGGAACAATAACTACCTTGCTAGACCTAAAGAGAACCCTTCTCTAAAAACCTAGTGGATTGGTTATTAGCTTGAAAGAACAAGATGATATGATCATCTTGCCTTGAACACCACAAGTATCCAAGCTAAATATTTGATACTGTTCAAGGAGAAACGCAAGTTCCATCAAGGAACTCCATAAAAGGAAACAACTCTCTTTTTATTAATTCATCTTCAATCTCATGTATCTGAATTGTTAAATAAAGTTGGCTATTTATAGCCTTACAAGACTCAAAACCCTAATCTAAACTTGGAAACAATACAAGCTTCCTTATTTGACTTGACACAACTTCCTAAATAAATTTGGAATCAATTAACTACTTTCCTAAAACTCTAATTCAATTGGAATAGGAAACTAACTGACTCAATTGGTTTAACTACAGTCAACATGACCTTAGCCTTTATTTCCCTTAATAACTCAAGACTAACTAACAAGTATTGCTGGAAACTTACTTAAATAAATAACAAGAAATAAGCATGGCAAATCTTCAATGATTCTTGAACCCGATTGCACCATCAACCATCAATTTGAATTTTCTTGAATTTGAAGGGAATCTAAATCTTCATGTTCTCATCATAACTGCTCCATCTGGATCTCACCCGGACCCGCACAGGCAATTCGCTATGACTCCCATAAATCGTCTCCAGCTCCGTGTCAGCTCCTAGGTTTGCCAAAAAATTAGCCGGCTTGTTCGCCTCTCTATAGCAATGCGTGATTTCCCGGAAATGACGCTTATATCTAAGCAAGCCCTCCAACTCCCATTGTAGTCTCCACGGGCATCCCAGTTTCCCTTGTAGAATCTCCACCAAAACTAGCGAATCAGCCTCGATGTGGAGGTCATGCAAGCCATGGGTTACACATAATTGGACCCCAAATGCCATAGCCTTGAGCTCCGCGTGTAAACTCGTCAAGGAGCCAAAGAAACAGGAATATCCGACAATGACCTGCCCTTCCGAGTCCCTCACCACGCCTCCACCCCCATTAACTCCCGGGTTCCCCCTAGTACAACCATCTGAATTCAACTTACACCCTACTGTGGGAGCCATCCAACGCACTAGGAGTATTGACATCCTCCTTCTCAAAGCCAACAAAGAAGAGTAGAACCCTTCCCAAGAGCCCGACGAAAATGTTATCTCCGGAAATTGGCCATGAAATAAGTCCCTTAATTGGTGAAAAACCTGCCGCACCACCTCAATACCCACCATCCTCCTCCCTTCAAAGACCCCCTTGTTTCGTGCTTTCCACAGTTCCCAGCAGGTGAGCATAGGGAGCAGCCGATAGACGAATTTGAGGTACACATTTTGCCCGCAGCGCAACCACCACTGTAGCACCCTGTGCCGCAAATTGGACACCCTGCCCATCTCTCCTGGGTCCTCGAAACTACTCCAAACCTCCGTTGCTACATCCCCTGTGCAAAAAATATGGTCAAGCCCCTCCTCGTATGGAACCGCGCAACAGTGACACCTAGATGGGCCGTGAATCCCAAATTTACGTAGAACATCCGACATGGGAAGCCTTGGCCGTAGGAGCCGTAACATGAAGAAAGAGATCTTGATTGGGCATCCCTTAAGCCAAAATTAGGAGGCCACCCAGGACCCATTAGACGCCTGCACAACCAGAGAGTACGCCGAGGCAATAAAAAACACTCCATCCTGCGTTAAAGCCCAAACCATCCTGTCATACCCTTGAGAGGAAGGAGGGGGAACATCTATGACCTGCCTCACCACCCCAGGCTCTAAAACTTGGTTGAGTAGCCCCAAATTCCACCTTGCCTGTGTGACAAAATCTGAAACTCTATGTTCATGAAAAATCTCTACCCGATGGCATATGGCTCCTGTCCCCAACCAATTATCATGCCAGAAATCCATCAATCCCTTATTCAGAATCAACTGACGTGCTCCTCTGCCAAATGCTAGACCGAACATAGTTTCTGCCACATTGAAGAGTGTGAGTTGGCACCCTCTGCCAGGCATGGATGGACCCCTTTACAGTACTTTGCTGAGAGAAACTTTGCCCACAGAGATTGTTGTTGCCTAAAGGTCCACCAGAGCTTAATGGAAAAAGCATCATACACCTTCACAATACTCCGAACGCCGATCCCACCTTCCTCGTGTGGGTGGCACAAATCACCCCAACTAATCCAATGGAACTTAGGTCCAAAATTTGTCGAGCCCCACAAGAAATTCGCCATCACCTTTTTCAGCAAGGCAAAAACCCTCCTCGGCGGCGTAGCCACTGCCAACAAATGAATCGACATCGAAGACAACACACTCCGTAGCAGTACTATCTTACCCCCAGTCGAAAGAACTCGATGCTTCCATGATAAGATTCTAGTGATTATGATATTGCAAATCTCTCCAAAGTAACTCGTTCTACGCCGTCCAATAAATAGCGGGCAGCCAAGGTATTTGCTTGGGAATGATTTGTACGAGAAACCTGTCACCACTCCAATCATTGCGCGCCTTTGCGGGGGAAAAGCTGGGTGCACCGAGAAACAACTCTTCTGACAATTAACTTTCTGCCCGACACCCCACAATATCCATCGACAACCCCTTTGACCAACTTGATCGAGGCCTTGAGGCCGCTCGTGAAGATCACAACGTCATTAGCATATGCCAAATGAGTCACTAGAGGGTAGCCACTCGGGATTTTGAACGGTCGGAAGCTACGATGCCCCGCTAACGCATTTAAAACCCGAGAGAGAACCTCTGCTCCAATCACAAACAAGGCCGGTGAAATTGGATCTCCTTGCCGCAACCCTCGCGTGGACTTAAAGAACCCATGCGGTAATCCATTCACGATAACAGAAAACCAGATATTAGAGATCAACCGCCAAACCATGTCAATCCATATCTCGCTAGACCCAAAACGCTGCAGTACTTGTATCAAGAAAACCCAGAAAATCCTGTCATAAGCTTTCATCATGCCCAATTTGAGCATCACGTTCCCGCCCCGATTGGGTTTCTTTGTGTCACTCAACAACTCTTGAGCAAGAAGAAAGTTATCTGCCATCTGCCGTCCAGGCACAAAGCCACTCTGCTGTGGAGAGACAATACGAGGCAAAACTCTAGCCAAACGGGAGGATAAAATTTTGGAAATTACCTTGTTGACAAAGTTGCACAAATTTATCGATCGGTATTGAGTAAAATCTTGTGGACACTGTGCCTTGGGAAGTAACACGATAGCAGTAGCAGTGACACTTCGTGGTAGCATCGCTCTACAAAAGAAGCTCATGATCGCCCTGTGAACATCCTCAACCACCACCTCCCATGCCTCAGTAAAAAACTTCCCTGTGAAGCCATCCGGGCCCGCCGCACTATCCCCATCCATCGAAAAAATGACTTTCTTGACTTCGTTTAGTGACGGGACCTCTGTCAGCTCCATGTTATCCTGCTCAGTGAGTATCATTGGGATAATCTCTAATATCTCGCTGGACGGCCTGCTTCCCTCCTCTGTGAACAAATTCTCAAAGAAAGAAACGGCTTCAGCACAAATGCTTGTTTCGTTGTCCACCCACTCCCCATTGGTCTTCCGAATCCTATGTATAACCGATTTCATCCTCCTCTCCGTCACGGCAGCGTGAAAAAATGTCGTATTCTTGTCACCGTCTGAGAGCCATTTACCTCGAGCTTTCTGCCTCCAGAAATCTTCTTCAACCACCACGACCCATCTCAATTTCGCACGGTCCTCTTGTAAATTCAAAAGCAACTCGTCCGATGGTTGGTTATCATAAGCTATCTCAGCTTCCAATACCCTTTGCTCTGCCATACGGCTTGCCAAGAAAATGTCCCCAAACTCACTCCTAGACTACTGCCGGAGTGCATGTTTCACCTTTCGCATCTTATCTGACAGAACTCTGAGAGGTGACCCAACGGAGGTAGCATCCCAACTCCCCTTGACCACTTTCAGGTAGGGGTGAGCATCGAATTCGAAATAGGTAATTCGGTAGATTGAAATCGGTAATTTTTGGTAAATGGTGCTGGGATATTTTGACCTAATTCGTATTCGAATTACCAAATATCGAATTCAAATTCAATTCGGTAAACACAAATTGATCGAATTTGTCCGAATTCC